TATTATTATTATTATTATTTTGTCACGATTCATGTCTTAACTAAGAAGTAGCAATAACTGCTCACAAAATGAACCGGGTGTGTGTGTGTGTGTGTGTGTGTGTGACAAAAGAGGGTCATAGGTCACGGTCTTCCAATACATGATTTTCAGTTTGTTTTCAGCTTTAGACTCTTCCTCACTTTACTCAGAAATGATGTCAGTAATTTAGGATCCCAGAAATTGCTCTTGTGCTTCGGTAGAAAACGGTTTTTATGTCATCAGTTTCTGCAAAGTTAGTTTAAAGTCACCTTTTCTGTTTGCACRTGTCTGGTTGTAGCTGTGAAGCTGTAATGACACCACAGGAAAAAAAAAAACACATGTGTACTTTCTAAATCAAATATTTTTTTAAATGTTGATTTACCTCAATATGTGTGACATCGCGCGTACTTTGTTTCAGACGTCACAGCTGACATGTAATCCTTTATTAGACAAAAAGTGTATAAGTCACAAGTAAATGTTGCAATAAGCAGCCATCGGTAAGTGTTTAGTTAATGGCGTGACAGCCACAGATGATGAATGTAACGTAAACTGTGAGTCTTGTTGCGTGTTGGCTCTGTGTGTCAGTAGACAATGTTCACTTTCAGCTCAAATACCTGCTGTCGGCTATCAGAACATTTCACCACAAACGCACAGAAGGAAGCATTTTGAGAACAAAACCTTGAAGTGGTTTAGATGTGTCTATAATTATCCTTTCATCAGACATTATTTCTGTTTTATTACCTCACGTATTATAAATGCTAGGACTGTCAATTTTAAATACACATTAGTGTACCCAGTATGTGATTTAAAGCATACTATGTAATGCAGCTTTAAGCTATAAAAATTATAAATCCATACGGCTATTRAATAAATCCTGAGAAAAATACATGTAATCTCACTGATAAGTTCATATATTTCAATTTTAAATAAGAATTCTGTTTTGAATTTGGCAAAATTTAAAGACCTTTATTTATTTTAGGTTTTGTTTTAAATTATTATTATTGATAATGCCACAAGGGGGCTTTTTTACTTTCTAGTGCTTTTTTAATTCCTCTCCTCTTGTTTATTTTTTTATATTTAAATGTAGAAGTGTGCAAAGCCTGATGAATAAACGACAACTAGTAGCGATGCAAATGACTGTAAATGTAATAAAAACATTATTTTTCAGTTGCAGAACTGAGAAATAAAATGGTATTAGAAAATGAAGGTCTATAAATCAAAATGTTTTATATTTATTTATTTCAGGGTTTATTTATAGCCATTTGTTTTAAGTGCAAATACATATTTGAATATTTATTCAATTTCTACTAAAACAATATTCCATTCTCCCTCCTGCTGCCCTTTGAGGCCTAAAACAGAGGCCTCATGGCTCATTTTGACCCCAGGGCAGCAGGAGGGCTACGTTGGGATCATGTTTTTAATTCCCTGTTGATTTCAAGGTTAGGGACCTGATTTTAAATTTAAAGAAAACACAGTAAAATTAAAGCAATCTGATTTATTGGGGGAGGCTTAGTGGCTTCAAGATTTTCCTCAACACATCCKACACCYAATCTTTTTCTATTTWTTTTCCTTTTCTCCAACTTACCAAAWATGAGACTGAGCCGAATCAAAGGCTTCCACACAGTGACGTTCTGAATGTTGTTGGGAAGTCGGTGCAAAGCTGAGGGCGTTGTGGTTGGGAAAAAAAATGCCCCCGCACCGAGGGAACTGCTGAAACGATGCCATGCACCAAGTTCATGCAAAAATACAAACTCTTGCAAAAACTAGAGAACACGTGAATATTCCTTTTGAATGGATTGAAGACATTATTAACGCAACAGCATATTACTCAATACTAAGGAATGCAACTGCGCACATGCACAAAAAATGTTTTTAACATAAAAAGGCTATATATATATATATATATATATGAACTATATGAAAATATATATATTTACTTAGAATGCTATGCACCCTTGTCAGCTGGGATTCCTGTTATGTTATGGATGTACTTTTAGCATCATACAGCTGTAGCTACCAAGAGACTGTTGAGTTCTGGGTAAATGCCTGCGACCTGGGGATAAAAAAAAGGGGTCTTGTGGGTATTTTMACTTTTTTTGTTTGCTTTTTTTTATTGTCATGGAGAGTCAAACGAAAAATATACGTGTGAATCCCTTTTAATCCAGACTAAATCTGAGGGTATCTATTGACAATTTACTCTGTACACCAGCTCAACATTTACAAAAGTTAATAAAGAAATGAAATGCCTTTGTGTATTGTGTGTATGCTTTTGTAAAATGAATCATTTTATATGACAGTTTTGGTTTCCGTGCTGAGATGATTGGAGTTTATTAGACTTCAAATTTCAGAATGATTGAGGAATCAAGGACAGAAATGCAAAACCTACTTGGGGATTGAAATAAATATTAAAAAATAGAATAACTTGACTCTATTAGGTTCAAGATTTAAAAACATTCATTAATGAATAATATTACAATTCCAAACAAACAAACAAAAATACTAAAGAATTATTACAAGGAGAATAAAATGTAACCTCTGAATTACGGAGGCAAACATGAATCCTTACTATTTTTGTGGAAAAAATACAGTAAGAAATACTATAGCATGTATTTGCAGTAAATTATTTGACTAAAGAGCTTTCTATACATTCATTTATGAGTAATATTGACTGGTGCCTTCATTTACTAAACTTTTATTAAGCTTTTATGAAGACAAGCTTTCCATTTTTATTCTCATTGTTCTCAGATTGGTCATATTTTAGCTGAACACCTGATTCTAGTTACTTGGATCAAAGTAATAAGTAATATATTTGTAAAACTGCTATTTCTATTTCCCCCTCACTTGCTGTGAATGAATTAAAATCCCACTGTATGGCTGGAAGTTTAATTATTGAAGCTGTGTAAACTGCTTTGCTGTTGCCACAACACAAAATGACAATGCTATAACTTACTGGGCTSAACGTGTAAAATCAAATAATAGTTTTAAGAAAGCTGGAAGCCGAATTTTTTTACAACTGTCCTCAAAATAAGTCAAACCTCAACACTAGTAAAAATCTTTAGAAAACATGAACGGAGACACAACAGTCCAACTTTCTGTCATACAAAATAAGATCTTGGAAAAATGTGATGGAATCTCCAGACTGAAGCAAACATAAGTTTATCTATAAAGTGCAGATACAATCTAATGGTCCAGCTAAATGGTGCAGCTTGTGATCAAGTTAATAGAWAAAATGACTGATTTTTAAAAGAAAACTGAACAAAGGACGCATTTTTTGTTGTAAAAATGTGTAAAATAAACTGCAATACGTTTGAAAAAGTGACTTTTTTCCATTCATCAATTCATATTGTGCTTTTTATGAATATACAATTTGCAACATTAAAAATGGTTGCGTTTGCTATTATGTTTAYATTTTAGTTTTAGTTTTTTGTTTTGGAACAGAGCATTGAACTCCCTSCAGTCACTTGCACGTGCATATTTTGGCCGGTAGAGGTCGCTAAAAGTTACTTTTGTCATATTTTAGTCCGTATTTTCCCTGCAGCCTGTCTGTCTGTGAGAGAGTGTTGTTTTGTGTGCTTGTGGAAAAACTGGAACGTGTGTCGAGTTCCTTTCTTTAAACAAAGATCCTCGACTCGTGTGTGTGTGTTTGTGTGTATGAGAGCGCATGCGACTAACTTAATCCGCACTTTTTTGTTTGCACTCATAAAAGCAAGATATTTATTTTTATTTATTTGAAAAGCAATCAKTAATTCTGAGCCAAAAAAACTAGACCGACAATCTTTGGCTTCGTGCAGTCGACCCTGGACTTCCTACCTGTTTCCTTCCAGTTAGCTACTTTTAGTTTATTTTAGTAGAGAGAAGATGTCCACTGACTGCCAAAAGACAACAGCCAAGGCCATTCCGTCCACCAGGAGAGTGGCCGTCAACGATGCAGATCACATGCCCCAGGACTACTCTACTACCCCAGGGGGGACCCTGTTTAGCACCACGCCGGGTGGTATGTACTGTTTTTAAAGGCAGATTTATGCGACTGTGTGCGACCACGAGGTCTTCTTCATTTGTGTCTCATATGATACAGGACACTTACATGTCCAAAGAGCTGTGACTAGTTCTGTGTTCATGCTAACTCCATGAGGTCGGCTGCGCTGCTGTCAGCTGTTAGCGCAGCTTAAGCTAACAGCTAATGCTAACTAGTGTGCGTTTATTCTAAAAAATAAAATTAAAAAGTGTCTTTTAAACACTTAAGTGTTGCGTGTTCGTAACGGTGTTGGTTTTCTACGTTATGACACGTATATGTCAGCTTTCATTTTAGATTTCATCATCTTATCGCTGTCTTTAGAGGAACCTGTCCAAAGTCACGTGATCAAATTCCACCGCATTTGTGCGGCATGGGTATGGCAAGTCGTTGTAACATTTAATGAAACAACACTTGGATGTCTAGTTTGTGACACTCTTATTAGTCAAATTAAAGATATCCAAAATATTTATATTAGTATATTGATAAAATAAAATAAAACGGTTTATCTGAAGTAGAATTGTTATGAGGAGGAATTCAATCTGTTTTGTGCTGAAAAGGTATTTGGTCAAGTTATTGAAGGTATTTGTTTCAAACCATGAGATCAAATATAAAAAAGGTATTTTGCACTTTATCAAATGATGCAGAGATTGTTGAACTAATGCTAATGTGCTAATGGCACTCTCTTGCCCTCATCTAGCAGAGTTTGAGCTGGTCTGGTCTTTTATTTGTAAAAACAGGTACCAGGATCATCTATGACCGAAAGTTCCTGTTGGAGTGTCGCAGCTCTCCGTTGGCCAGGACACCTCCTCGAGGTCTTCCCACCATTCCAGGGGTGACCAGTCCTCCCGCTAAAAAGCCTGACGCAAAAACCCTGAACGGAGAAGTGCTGAACAACAACTCAGCTGCTGCGGCCGACTCGAGCAACGCTGGTATGAGCTGGGAGAAATATTACCGCGTTTCCGCTGGAATAACCTTTAATGTGAAGAGGAATATGTGTGTTCTGCTTTGACTAAAAGTGTTGTTTCTGTCTCGTCAGGTGAGGATGCACAGTTTGAAATGGACATCTAGTTGGAGCTGAACACTATGAAGGGAGGCTCAGGAGGATCCTCTTATTTCCCATCATAATGTCTGTGTGAGACACAGTTCTCCTTCGTGATCATGTTTTCCTGTCAACTGTTTTTAAGCCGTATTTTATTTAGTTTTTTTACCAGAACAAACCTGTTTTTTTTTCATTACCTCAAAGCCTATATTTTGCACGCGACAAAAGTGTGCCTTCCTGTAGTGGCTACAAGTTTCAAATCCTCACTGACGAGTACTAAACACCAGCAAATGCCTCATCACTCAGAGATGTGACAAACTGAAGTGAATGAAGATCTACTTTCTCTGAATTTATGACCATTCCAGAAGGTTTTGTCACTTCATGGGCTTTCATTTCCCTCCACCTCTCCTCAGATACTGCCTTCAAATGTTCAAGGAACAAATTTAATTTGTTAATTTCTTAAGAAGACAKTCTGTCCACCTGAAGTGTTAAACAAAGAATGTACGATGATGGACTGTTTTTTAAAGGTATGAAACAACTCACTCACAGTTTGGAGAGTGACCAACATTAAAACAAACACAAGTACCACCAATCTCCTTCCTTGTGTATTTTTGGAGGTTATTTGAGATGTTTTTGTCGTACTGAAGTGAGCTAATATACATTTAACCGTGATGGGTGTTTGACGACCTGCTGCTCCTCCCGTTTCAGAGGAATTCCTCAAAGAGCTCGGAGGTGGCTGATAACCTGTCAGTGGACTGTAATAAGAGAGGTCAATATACATCTGTACACAGCTGCTTCCATTCTGACAAAAAAGCCATTTATGTGATGCAGATTTAATTGTCTGAACTAAAAGGTTTCCAAACCAAACTTTGTTTATTCAGAGTGAAAAAAGTGGGCGTCTTAAAGAAGTGCTAAAATGATCGTCTGGGGTTTGTTACGATGCGTTCAGGGCCGGTGGGACGTGTGAGAACTGCCACATGTGTTAAGAGGAGGTGATACCAAGATTATGTTAGTGTCCATTTATGGCAGCAGGCATGTCAGTTCTTGAAAGAGGGAATAACCTAAACATTACATTAGGGTCCGTCTGCTTTGGACAGATGTTTCAGCTGATTGGTTCCAGTCCTTCCTCCACAGTAGCTTCACCCTTCAGGTTCTGAGTCTTTCCATACCATGCATCTCTGTTTATTCGTGTCACCTCTGCTTCCTGACACCAGAACAACTCCCCCAAGATAAACAAGTCCCACTGCTTTTTTTTTTCTGCTCCATTGATCCTGTAAGGGGTTCTGTTGTTCTGACYAGCGTGCCTGTTGATCTGAATCAACAAAAGAAAGACGGCCAGAGAGGACAGCTAACGACACATGATGGAGTGTGGACTGCGGCGAGCCATAGATGTGGATTGGTGTGGTGAGGAAAGGTAAAAGTTTCTGTAAGAGATGAACCTCCAATTTAAACATAAAATCTGCATAGATACTAATATTCTATATAAAAATAAAGGATTATAGAATAAAAAACTATAACTCAATTTTGGTAGCAAGTAAATGTCCAATTTGAGGCAAATCTTATTTTCCGTTTTAAACTTGAATTATTCAATTAAATGTTTTACTTTGAAAATTCTCTGGTTTTCTCTCTCAAAACTTAATATTTTTGACTTTACGAATGAAAAACACTTAAAACACAACACTTATTTCTAAATAAACATTTTATTATATTTTATATACAAAATATACATTATAATGTATAAATAGGCTAAATATATAACAAAATAAAATGCAGTCTGGATGAGAAATGTTTTTATTCACTGTATAAAAAATGTATTTTTAGTTGGTCACGACTGGGAGCTGTTGGAGTAATAATGTGTAGAGCAGGGGTGCCCAAACATTTTCCCTGAGAGGGCCAAAATGAAAATCTATCCAGGGCTGYGGGCCAAATGCAGTAATATAATACATGAAATACAAATACTTTTTAAAGTAAAGTCCTTTATTTTTAACGATTAAGCTAGGCAATGGCCCTCTTTTGTTTTAGTCGGGGCACTTGGAGAAAGTCTGCCATACGCTCAAGTAGCAAAGGCTCATGGGACATTTCATAAATTGATAAAATATGAGTTTTGTGGCCTTATAAAGTGTGCAAATCTACATGTGAGGTAAAATCTGCTCTAAATATTTCTTGTCATTTCATGTTTCATGTTTAAGCCTAATAAATCAAAGATATGTCAGCACCATGAATGAAAACTACCTTCACTACAGCCCTTTTATATAGTCATCTGACCAATGGAAACACTGTTTCTACATAGGATAACAGGTTACAACCTTGTAACTTTGGCAACTGTTGGTGGGCCAAATCAAATGGCTTGGCAGGCCAAATTTGGCCCACGGGCCCTGCTTTGGGCTCCTCTGGTGTATATAAAAAGTAAAAAAAGTAATAAGCATTAACTCTGAGAGGTAGCTTTATTGGCATCCGCACTCTTCAACAATCATCTCCTCGTGATGCCGCAGGGTTAAATCATCACTCTCGTAGTACAGCATGGAGAGCGGGCTGAGGCGGATCGGTGCGCAGGACGGACAGGACACTCTGTCTGGGTGATGGAGTYGCAGCAGGCTCTGAAATTGAAAAATTATAATTTAATGATTAAAACAAAAACAGGCAGATCTTTGAGCAGGTAACTCTGCTGTCGTCTCACCTGCATGTATGCGTGRTTGGTAGGGCTGAAGGACTCGTCCAGCGGTGACGGACACTCCCCCTCGCAGCGATGAGCGTTGTAGCGCTTTGGGTGCACGATCCACTCGTCCCAGCCGATGTGGTCGAAGTCCACCCACATGTCTACCCTCCGACACAGAGACCTCTGGACCCGCTCTGCTGCCGGTGCCGCAGTGGGCTCAGCTCCAGCGGTGSCTCGCATCCCTTCAATTCGATTYCTCTTGTGGCGGCGACTCTGACCATCGCCTCGAACCCTGGCGGTCRTCACGTATTTGGAGTTCTCTACGGTGTGGATGAGGCTGTAYGCTGCGTGGCCTTCCTGGAGCTGGYTGTGTTTGGAAAAGATGACCATCATGACCTGGTTTGTGGTYGGATGGTTTACTTTTCTCTGCTCTGCCATCAAGTTGTTCAAGGAGAACGTGTTATCTTGAGCCCCAGATCCAKCCCCATCTTCTGCGTCGGGCTCTCCTGAAGCCTCTTGGCTCAACACATCACTTCTCTTGTGCAGCCAGTATTTTAACAGCTCGGTCACATTAAACACCTCCCAGGAAGACTTGGTGCTGCTTGGTGTTGCCCCGAAACTTCCCAGGAAAACCTCCTCCTCCTGGCACGATGCTCCGCCCGRGTCACAGTACTGCTTGTGGGAGTGATATAAATCCACCACGGCACGCTTGGAGGCAGAGAGTGCTGGGAGTTTGATTTGAAGCTCTGCCAGCAGGACGAGCTCGCCGGTGGAGATGGACGACAYGTCGAACGTCACGGTCCATCTGTCACCCACTTGGTGGCAGCCTGAAAAAAGGGACAGGAGAAAAAGACATCAAAGCCCCGACACAGCAGTCTGCATGGATGTGAACAAACCAGACCRCTGGACAAATGTCTGAACAGTGGAGCGAGAAGGTGCACAGGACAGGATGTGTATTGGACCCCCCTGTGTAGGGCCGTCTGAGGGCTAATATACAAGTGCCCCACATAAAACAGAGCAGGCCTTTAAAGTCGAATAAGCATTTTGACACTTGCTGGGTTGTAAAAAAGAAAAGTAAAAGGGAAGGACTGATGACACAGTTAAAACCAAACAGTTCCAGGAAGATGGAGAGCAAAAAGGAAAATAACTTGCAGGGCAAAACAAGGAGTGGAGGATGCAAGTTTAACTCTTTTAAACACTGTGGTAACAATTATGGACTCTGTAAGACCACTCACCTGGATTTTATTTATGGACTTTTCCTCTGCTTTTAATACTGTAAATATTGACATTCTGCTGCACTGCCTTCAGAACCTACAGGTCCACTCAACCTTGATTTTTTGGATAAAGATTTTTTTTTACAGACAGACCGCAGCAGGTGTTTTTAAATGGTTTTAAGTCTAGTATATTTAAATATTTAAATATTTTTAAATATGCTGATGACAGGTAGCCCACATGGACAGCATGGACTCACTCACCCATTGTCAACTTGCTGTTGATGACCTGGTCCCAACACTTGGTGAGAAATCACTTGAACTCAATATTACAAAGACAAAGGAGTTGTGCTGTGTGGGGAAAACTAGAGCTGCAGCCGCTTCACAGCTTCATAAGCCTCTGATCATTCAGGGAAAGATGGTTGAGCAAGTAGAGTGTTTTAAATATTTAGATGGACACCTGTCTGTCCTTCCAAACTCACACTGATACGATCTAGAGAAAAGCTCTCCAGTGCCTACATCTTCTTAGAAAGTTAAGGAATTTTAATGTCAGCAAATAGATTTTAATCATGATTTACCGGTCACTTCTAGAATCTATTCTCACCTTCAATATCACTTCTTGGTATAACTTTCTCACTGGCAGAAAGAAAACAAAACTGGCACGTGTAACAAATCAAGCTAGTAAAATAATTGGTTTGACACAAACTCCACTGTCCCATCYGTATGAGCGAGGAACCCTCACATCCCCTACATCACTCTTTCAGTCTCCTTCCATCAGGTAGCAGATACAACGTACCGTTGGCTAAGAAGGCGAGACTCAAAAAGTCATTTATTCCAACTACAGTTTCAGCCCTCAACAAGAGAGGTATTTTTGAATTTTGTTTATGAATTTTATCTTGCATAAATGTTGCTTTGAAATGTTGTTATATGTGTGTATGGAGCCCTGTCGAAGACACATTTCTGTAACCCTTGGTGTCAGACAAATAAAGTTTTCTATTCTATTCTAACAGTTCTGCATGCAGACAGTGTGAAAAAAAAAAAACAAGTGTTTACTCACGTTTGGCCATCAGGCTCAGAACGGAGTCCGAACTCTGCGCTGCTGGGCATTCATGCTGCGCCGTCATGGTGCTGACAGGTAGTGAAGAGAGGAAATCAGAGGTCCTGAAGGAGCGATACAGCCTCATCATGTACGGAGGGTATCTGCTGCGATGATTCGTCGACAGGTTTCTGTGTGTCGGACCGCTCCTGCTCTGAGCTGAGAGGAGAGCTCCAAAAGAGCAGAAGAGAAGAGTGCARAAAACCACCTCGACTCTGGTTTCCATTTTAACTGAAGCTCCCAGAGATCTGCGTCCTTCCTCCAGCTGCGCTCAGGCTGAAATGATGCAGAGTGCAGATGGAGCTCCGGACTGAGCTTTTATAGTGGACAGCTGCCCTTTGATGACCCCTGACCACTTCAGGCATCTCAACAGCCCCTCTGATCATCAGAACACCAGCAGGGGTGTTAAAAAAAAGAGAGAGAGAGCGAATACTTATCGCCAAGGTCATTATCCTGTCAAACAGACTCATAAGTACAGAAATACAAAGATATGCACCTGAATTATATATTTTTTATTAACAAGTTGCAATTARTCCACATATAAATGTACTTCGTTTGTAGCTCTTCACATCATTTCTTTAGCTTAAAGTTTGTATGAGGTATAAAACTACCAAACTCATCTGGTTTCAAGTGTCGGTTATATGAGTTATGGTCGAAAAAATAACTATTTACCGGTACACAGATTTTTCTGAGATTACTAGAACAGTTCAATAAGTTAAACAGGAGAAAAAAATCTACCCAGTGATTTTTAAAATATAAGTAGCAAAAAGAATGTAAGAGAATGATTAGAAGTGACATTTAAATATAAACTCAATCTGTGCATTTTAGACAGTGCGGTCCTGAAGAGAGCATCTAAACAAGTCTTCTGTTTTGTTTACGTTGAGGATATTTCAACGTGTTGATATTTCAGTTAAACACTCAGCTGTTGTCCAGCTGGTTTGGTTTGTTTCTCACAACAATCTTCTGACAACTCATTAAAGAAGTTCTTCACCTGTGGGAGAAAAATGGGATCAGAAACCATGAACATGTCAAACAGACATATACCTCCACGGTGAAACATCACGGTGGCGCCCCCGTGTGGTTGAATCTGATTACAGTAGCTATAAAGTTAAAATAAAATGGTTTGATCAAATAAAAATACCTTTGTTATTAAMTGCTCCTGCACATCTGGATCACTCTGAAACTCAACAGTGGCGTCGAGTTGTAAGATGGGAATGTTTTTCAACTTCTCAAAGTGTGTCCTAAGAAAGAAAGAAAAAAAATAAAAAAATTGTATCATTGGCATTTATTACCTTAACAGCTGTAATGACCACACATTTCTGATTGTTAGTTGTTATTTTTTAATTGATAATGGGCCAACAACAAAAATTAAAAAGCTGGAGGTGGCTCATTACAGTTCACAAAATTAAGTTCAGCAAGTCACAAATATGACATAATAGCTACAAATCTACAATTATTAGTTTGCTCCCATAGTATGTAATGATTGAAAATAATTCATTGAGCTGAACTAAAACTTTACATACCCCACTTTATGGTTACGTATTGGTACACAAATCRTTAATTGTTAAAAATGATAATAAAAAAACAACAAAGGATTCTGATTCTTACTCAGTGCTCTTCTCCACCAGCCACCTCTCATGCTGAACATGCAGCTTGTCCAGGTAGTCCAGTTTCACCTCATTCTCCTCCAGCCTTCCCCTTCGCCTCAAACGCTCCATACATTTCTGACAGATGCATACATTTGTGAGTACTTCGCACGACACTGAGTTAAGAGCTGTGTAACACATCTGTGCATACCTGGGGCGAGGCTCTGAGGTAGATGATGCCCTCCAGCTCCACCCGGGGGCCAAACTGCTCCATCAGAAGAGAGTGCCAGTCCTGGTAGACTGCCCACTCTGTAGCAGTGATGCAACCCAGCTCAAACATGTTCAGAGCAAAGATGTACCTGAAAGAACAGAGTTGAGTTTTGCATGGATGCTTGACGAATCACGTGGAAYGGCACTTACAACACTACGTTCACCCTACACCATTAAATATGGCTGCACACAGTGACGTCACCAACATTCAAAATAAATGAAAGACCCATATATTCCATCTAACTCACCTGTCGCTGTAGACCGAGCGCTCGTACACCTGCACAGGTGTTCCCTTAGAGCTGAGCAGGTGAGCTGGAGGCGGCTGCAGTTGTGTTCTCAGCCGGCTCATACAGGAATATGTTTGAAACGTGTACGACCAGCGCTGAGGGTCCTGGTACATCATCTGCAGCAGGTTACTGACTGTCGTCTCTGGAGCTGCATCTGCTCCCTGACAGGGAGAATATTAACAAGCCCGTGAAGGATACAAGTATTAGATTTGTTTTTATCAAAAGAMCGCTGTGCTGTGCACCCCTCACTTATTTGTTCTGTTCATAAGGAGCCAAACTTTTTTAAAAATATATATATTTAAAAGGTCCTGACGAATAGTTTTTTTCAGGATTTCTGAAGGTCTTATAATTTTTCATTTATTATGTTCATTATTTTTATTATTACTGGACTAGGGCTGCTTTTTTCCCCACTCATTTTCAGTCCAGTACTTGATTGTTCTCAAAGAAATACTTTTTATTTTGTTTGTTGAGTTCATTCACTCTGATCTGTTAGTCCAGATATCTACATTCAAAGAACAACCTGGTAAAGAACCTGTTTTGAACTGGATAATTAAGCATTGTGTTACCAGCTGCTTCTAACACAGACAAACTCAAAATCTTGTACCCTTTTCTTTAGCCTGAAGAATGTGGATTTTTAACCAGAAAGGGCAGACGTCTCTCAGATCCAGTCAGACACCAGCTACACAACAAACAGCCATTACCTCGGACYGAGGAYAGAGGAGTCATCCACCACGGTTCAAGTCAGGGAAAGATCGTCCAATTGGGGTGAAGAACTCTCAGAACCTCACCAAGTCAGACGTTTTCAGACCCACGTTACTCTTTCAGCATCTCCTGGGCTGCTTTCAATCGAAGATCAGAGACGAAGCGCTTCTCTGTATCCGTCCCAAAAACAAATACTTCTGCCATGGAAGTTTCAAAACAAAAGTTGCTCTGTGTGTAGCTTTGGTGAGCTCAAGATAGTAGACGAGACCGAGTGTTGGTCTGGTCTAAACTGAGAGGTTCTCCCATTGACTCAATGGGCCRAATCTCACAGCCAAACGCTGGTTCTCCTATCTGGAGAAAAACAGCCGCTTCCTCGTTGAGCACGTTCTCTCAACGACTGACTGTTGTTAGTTTAAAGACGTTAGTTTAAAAGAGGAAGGTTAGTGAAGCACTGCCAGGTGTTGTTTTGTCTTAACAGCATTGTTGACGTCTGTACAGTCTGTTCTGACCTGCTCTATGGTGAGAGCACTTTAAAGAACACTTAAAGGATGATTTACTGAAAATCTAAAAATTAATTATTTCATTTAAGAACATTCATTATGATTCAGACAAAAATAAAATAAAATGTTTCATATTAAAGCTTAACTATAACGCTGAGTTTAGTTAAGTAAAAATATCTCAACAGAAACATCTCTAATCAATCACTGTGGTTTTACAGTTAAATTACTAGCAATGATTTGCATTAAAGCAGAATAAAACACTGAAATAACATTTTCTGTGGTTTTTCTTTTGTATACATTGTTTCAATTATGAATAAAAGATTATTATGTTTGTTATCTGACTAAGAAGAAGAAAATGTATCTTTACTGTTTAAGAAAACCTGTTAAGGCTTTAACTGGAACAGAGTTCTGTCTCTTTAAAGGGGCCTGTCAGAGGCCTTGGGTCAAGGACAGTTTTGCATGTTTATTGACCACTACATTTACCTATATACGGTTACTTTTGCACTACATATCCTGCTGCTACTTGTCTATAAATACTGTAAAAACTGTATATACTGGTCTATAATTCTGTCCACTCTACTTTTGTACTATTGTGCTTTACTTGAAATATTTTAGACTGTTGGTAAATGGAGGAACTGCAAAGTAAGAATTTCATTGTACAGTGTAACTGCGCGTATACTGTGCAGATGACAATAAAACTCTTGAATCTTGAATCTCTTGAGTTGTGTGAAACCTCCAGAGACAGAACATTTTGAGCAGAAATGCGGTTACCATAAAAATCACGAGTGCTTTTTGTTAAATTGCTGCAACTCTGATCCATTAAAAGGACGACCACAGACCTCTGCAGACACCAAAGCACCTGGTAAGAATTTTTTTCCCTTTATTGTTCTACTTTTATTTGGTTTTGTGTATTATTAAAAGTACTTAACTAAAAACAGGTTTTCTGCTGTGCACAAACGGATTTTCATTGTCAAATATATTCTAAAAAGTTATACTGTGCCAGTGTTGTTTTTGTACTTTCTGCTGTAACGATGTTAAGTTTCATTTCATTGCTCTGTAGGTTTTTGAGTTTGTTCTTGACACAGTTTCCTTTCTTAAAGTGGATTCAAACATGGAGGAGTTTCAAATAAAGGACCAACCCATTCTCACTCCCAAGTCGTCACATATTGACGCTTTTCCAAGGTTCCCTCTACGTCCGATTTTGACGCGCAGGGTACCCCCGTCACGTCAGTTACTGACGAGATGGGGCGGAATCTGTTGTCATATTTTCAGAAAGTGTAGAAAATGCGCGAAAACGACYGTTCCAAAGCCTGAAATTGTCTTTGTTCACTTTAGACATCCTGTCCCTGACCGTAGTACCTAAATTTAACCATTTTTAGAAAATGTACGAAATTCACGTAATCATGTTCTAAAGCGTAAAATGACCTAATATTCACCATGGACATCCTACCCCTGATCCCAGTACCTAAACTTAACTATTAATCCTGATCCCTCATGTTAACCTCAGACCCCCGACCCAAAGAGCCCTGGTGGCGCAACCCGGAAAAGCCGCGGGCGTCAAGGACTGACGCGAGGGGGACACCTGCTGCGTCAAAATAAGACGCAGAGGGAACCTTTGGAAAAGCGTCAATATGTGACGACTTGGGAGTGAGAATGTGTAGAAAGGACAGTGACAGCAGTAGCACCATGCCAGGAGTGGCAGAGGTAAGTCACTGTTCAATCTAACCACTCTGGAAAAAAAGTTACACTTTCTCATGTTTACATTGGTTGGTAGGAAATGTCAAATGTACTTAGAGTAGTTGAATTATAGAAAACTTAATGAAACATTATGGCAAGATTTAGTTTAATTTCAAACTGAACCACATTTCAAATGTAAGCAGGTGTGGAATGTGTAGAAAAYACACACAGCACAGAATTCTGTTGCTTGGAGAAGTTTTGTTTTCCTTTTGAACAACAAAAAAATGTTCAATCACTCCTGAAATCAGCTATCCATACAAAGTATTCACCATAAAATCTAAATGTTTCACTTTATTTCTGACTTTATGAAATCAAATCCTGAACTACTCCTGCAACAGTTTCCTCTATTCTTGTGTTTCAGAAAGAGACCTGCAGAAGTCCAGATGGACCTGAAGACAAAGGTGGAGGTGGTTTCAGTGAGGACCAGCTGATCCAGCCATTCAAAGCTCCAGAAGGACCACACTGCAGTGGCCAGAGTGAGGAGAGCTCCAGTGAGTTAGAGTTTCAGCCAACATCAACTCAACAACTCTGGTGAGAGGCCCTACACCTGTGACCACTGTGAGAAGGGATTCAAACATAAGGAACACCTGAAGACTCATCAAAGTGTCCACACTGGTGAGAAACCCTACACCTGTGACTTGTTGGCATTTCAAAGTCCATCCGCGTCAGTATTTGATGATCAATAAAGCAAAAGATTTGAAGTTTCATAAAGTATATAAAAAGTGTTTTTTTTCTGTAAAAACTATCATTAAACTTGTTTGATAACTTTAAACTACTTTCAACTGAAAAAAACCCGGCTTTTATGTTTTTGTTAAAGTAACAAGATGATTATATCACAGTGATTAGGAAGTGAGTGTTTAATTGCACATTTAGCATTTTCCTAGCATTAGCACCATAGCTTCATTAGACTCCCTAAATGTCAGCCTCAGACTTAAAAGAAGCTGATTCTCATCTCAGCTGCAAATTGCCCCAGGACACACTGAAAGTCATGGCTTATACATACAGTAAGAACAAAACAACATAACTTACTACAAGAGTATTGCCAAGGAAAATCAACAATTCTAAATATATGTTTATCAGTCTGATTGAGGTGGGGTGAAGACGTCATCCATGGGGTAAATCAACAACACAGTCATCTTCAGGGAACCAGAATCAGCGTTTCCCCTACCATTATTCAGAGGAGTGGGGGGGGGG